TCTATCTATCTATCTATCTATCTATCTATCTATCTATCTATCTATCTATCTATCTATTCCAGACCAGAATAACCTCTCTTACATTTGAATGTCTCTAATTTGGAGACTGCTGCCATAGTCTATGTATGAGGTGATATAAGGGCCCAAGCTAAAATGGAGAGTGGGTCTGAAAAGGGGAAGAGAGAAACATTAGGAAGAGAAAATAAACAGGATTATGGGACAATGAGAGAATCCAAAGAGTCAAAGGTTTATCTATGTTTGGCTTCTATTACATACTTACTTTTGTTAAATTTATGACATTTTCATATGAAGCAATTTTATTTTATCATCTATATTCTAAATGTCTCTACATTAGGAACTGTCTTTACATTTCTTTGCAGCTTCCATTCTTGCCAATACCTAATACAAGGTCTTATGCATGGTGCTAAATATGTTTTTATTGACTGACACTAACATAAGCCATGAAAATTCTGAATAGATAACAAATATATTATTGCAAGTGAAGACTAACTTTTGGTTGAAACTTTTTTTTAATGTAATGCTATTCATCCTACCTTGCTTTAGTTATAACAACATTTTTTTTCTTCTCTCTCCACTCTTTTTTCAAAATAGTTGGTCAACGAAGCACCTACTACATACTTGCAGGATTTAGTACATTGTTACTCCTAATTATTATACTAACAGTAATATTAAAAGTACTCTGGATTGATTTGATTCTGCTATGGCGAGAAATAGCTAGACCTTATAAATTCAGGAATGGTGAGTATTAAGTTTAAAATTTCTTTTTTGGAAATTTTTCATAGAAGATATATATTATTTTCAGATTCTTAATCTATGGATCCTTTATTGATTCAATTAAAATGTTGTTGTATGTTGTTAATATTTTAATCATGAATATACTGCCAGTGACTTATGCTGAGCTATACTCAGGCCAGTTTCCAAGCTGAGATTATTATCCAAAACTTTCATATATTTGGCAATTAGGTTTTTAAGAAATTGCTACTGAGGCTCTCATTTGCAGAAACTGGCCCAATTTCAGAGTTGTTTAAGAAATTGTGAAACATGAATGTTAGTACTTAACCTCCCAGGATTACTGTGAAGATAAAATGAGAAAATATTTGTGAAGTGTTTGGCAAGCATTGAAACCTGTCTAAATGCTAGTTATTTTTATTAATATTAGCAAAACATTATGATATTAAAAATTAATGCAGACTCTGTTTGTGTGTCCACTGCCCAAATGTGAACAGAGGTCAGTGAACTGGCCAATTTAATATATCTGTTAATAGCAATTTCATGTATGTCCACACATATGCGTATATATGCATACATACCCATGGGCAGCTAGGTAGTGTAGAGGCTAGAGTTTTGGACTTGGGATCAGGAAGACCCAAGTTCAAATTCTACTGTACACATACTAGCTGTGTGACTTTGGAAAAGTCATTTACCTTCTTTCACTCTTGGTTTCCTCATCTGTAAAATGAAGACGGTAATAGCACTCACCTTACAAAATTGTTGTGAGTATCAAATTAAACAATATACATAAAATGTTTTGAAAATCTTCAAACATACAAATCCTAGCTACAATACTCATTTAGAAATTCATAGAATCTGAGCTGAAAAGGACCTAAGAGACAATCTAGTCCAACCTACACCTGAAAAAGAATGTTTCCTATAACAAATGGCCATCCAGTCTATGGTTATAGACCTTTAATGAAGCAAAAGACAGTACTTCTTTTCTCAACAAGCAAGCCACTCCCCACCATGAACAAACAAACAAAACATCTTCAATAACCACCTTATAGCCTCCAGGATAACATCCAACCCCTAGCCTAGCATTTCTGGTTTTTTGTAATACAAAGACAGTAGCAATTGTTGGGAAGTTTTTCCTTACATCAATCTAAATCTGTCTCTTAACAATTTTCTCATTGTTCCCCTTCCCTCACCAAGCAGAACAAATCATACCCTATTTCCATGTGATAGCATTTCAAGTACTTGGCATACAGGAAACCTATCTCCTTTCAGCCCATTTTTCTCTAGGCTAAACATACCCCAATTCCTACAATTGATCCTTGTAAGGTATGATTTCCAGCCCCTTACAGTGTTGTTGTGTAGCCTTTTCAATCATGTCTGACTCTTTGTGACCCCATTTGGATTTTCTTAGCAAAGATCCTGGAGTGGTTTGCTGTTCATTCCCCGGCTCATTTTACAGGTGAGGAACGGAGGTAGACAGGGTTAAATGACTTGCCCAGGGTCACACAGCTAGTCCGTGTCTGAGACCAGATTTAAACTTAGGAAGTTGAGTTTCCCTGACTTCAGGCCCATCACTCTATCCCCCAGGCCACTTAATAAATAAGGTTAATTCATTTAGGCTAGATGTATGTTAGATTCATCCATGTAATCTGTTATTTAGCAAATAACTATTATGTTTTCAGCTTATTTCCCAACTGTTGCAAGCCTCTTCCTCTTTCTTGCTGTTGTCTTTTTTTTTTCCTTAGCATTTTCACAAGCATACCTATGAGAGGGACAATAAAGAAAAGGAAAGGTGGAAATTTACATTAGCAAATTTAATTACTTTCTATGAACTCAATTACAAAATTGGATGGTTTCATCTTATTGATCAAGAAGACTCCCCATAAAATTTATTTATCCATAATTTTCATAATTTTCTATTAACAAGAGTAATAGTACTGTATAGTTTCATGCTTAATTAGTTGCTACTTTGTGGTTTTTTTCTATCCTCTATTATATCATTATGAATATTAAATGCTTATTGGTTGTCTGACTGATTGATTAAAATCCTTTGAAGGCAAAAGTCGTATCTTTTTCTCCTTTCTTTTTTCTTTTTTGTATTCTCCATAAACCTAACAAAATGATAGGCATATGATGGAGTTCACTCAACTGGCGATTTTAATATATCTGTTAATAATAACTTCATATATGTATACACATAGGCAAGTAGGTGATACAGAGGCTAAAGAGCTGGATTTTGAATCAAGAAGATCTGAATTCATGTCAAAGTCATTGACTGATAAATACCTGTGGACTGATTAGAAAATTCTGATTTATAATCAGATGACTCAGTCTGGCTTACCTCAAATAGACCACACTCTTGACTCTTTCTCTATCTACTATATTTAGTTGGAGACAAAAAAAAATGAGAAATCTGTGGTTAACAGATTTTTAGCAGCAAATAGCTGCTATAATTAAATGCCTAACATTTTTGTAGGGTTGAAAACACTCATGTATAACCACAAAACAACTGGTGAACACACATACATATATGTATATACATATACATATATACCCATACTCACACACGCCTCTCTCTCTCTCTCTCTCTCTCTCTCTCTCTCTCTTTCTCTTTCCTTCTCTTTCCCTCTCTCTCTGAAAGTCAAATAACCATTTAAAACATTAATAGAACTTTGGTTTGCTTTTGTTTACAGATGGAAAGTTATATGATGCTTATGTCATCTATCCCAGAAACTACAAGAACAGGACTGAGAGTGTTAATTCCATGGAATATTTTGTTCACCAGATTCTGCCTGAAGTTCTTGAAAAGAAATGTGGATATAGCTTGTGTATCTATGGAAGAGACCTTCTGCCTGGAGAAGGTGAGACTTTTAATTATGTTGCAACAATTCACTTTCCTTATAAAGGATGTCAAATATAAATGCTTATCTCATCTCATTCACTGCTAATGGATAGCTGAACAAGATAGCCTAGTTCCTGAGGCTCAGAGCTTAGATCTATGCCATGTTTTCTTCTGTACCTTGCAGCACAATTTCTTCAAAGCTCAATCAGTCACCAAGTTTCAATGTAACTACATTGAAACTCTGTAAGTGGTAAAAATTCTGGAAGTTAAGCCTCCCCAAAAACTTAAACTTTGACAATGTTTGACTATGCACATTTTTCCTTCTTTTCTGCTCCTTACTCTTTCTACCACAAATACTAGGAGAACACTGGAATTCCTTAGTGTTATCTTGACGATCTGAAGTGGTACTTGGAAGTTGGATTGGGAAACACAAGTTTTTTGGCAGGCTGGTGAGCTAGAATGCTATATCCCTTTTTATGATAAGATTGCCAGAAATTACAATAAAGGTGTCTCAAAAGTCTTTAGTAGAGTTTTAAGCTTTAATAACTTAAAACTGCACTAAGACTTTAGGTACACTCTAGACATAATACTTTTATACTTAGACAATCTATGATTCATTGGTATAATTGTTTCTTCTTTGAATCAACCAGTAAATCAACTGTTTGCTGGGTATTGCACTAGGTGCTAGAGATATGAAGACAAAAATGAAATAATCCTTACCCTCAATTCCAGGTCTTAGTAAATAGTTTATGAGTTGTTGTGGCCATTCTTCTGGTGATGATTGTATCTAAATTTAATAGAACTTGTCTTTGCATGACAGGCATATAATCTATCATCATTTGGCGCTTGTAGCCTTTTTCAGCTTGGAAGAACCTAATGGACAATTGGCACTACATTAACAGTTTTCAAGAGCCCAAGGTCATCTACTTATCATAAAAAGTTATCCAAGTAGGATTTTCTTTCTATTTGTCACTTGCCCAGGTTCACACAACTAGCTTCTGAGGCCGAATTTGAACTCAGGGCCTCCTGACTCCAGGACCAATGCTGCCCCCCAAGTAGGATTTTAGTGGATGTAGATAGGATTTTAGCATGTGGATATAATATGAGAGTAATTTTAAATATCTGAACAGAACCAAAAGAACATTGTATACAATAACAGCAATATTGTTTTAACAATGACTTTGAGTGACTAAGTCATTTTGACTATTATAAATATACAAATTAAATACAAAGGACATGTAAAGAAAGATCTGCATCCAGAGAAAGAACTGACAAATAGAAGTAGGTATAAAATAATTATGTGTGTATGTGTGTGTGTGTGTGTGTGTGTGTGTGTGTGTGTGTGTGTGTGTGTAATGGTAGCCATCTCTAGGACTGGAGGTGAGATGGGTGGAAAGGAAAGAAAAGAAAGGTGAAAAAAATTTAAATGGTAACTTTGTTGTATATTTGGAGGGAATAGCAAGTTGTACATGGTAGATTTGTGGTTTCATGTGCAATCACCTTTTTATTGTACTGTGTTATGGAAGTGCTTGTTTTGTTTCATGAATTGAAAATAAAATAAATTTAATTTTTTAAAAATATCTTCAGTAATAGCTTCTGGAATATTGTAAAAAAATAAATACAGGACAATTTAAAAGGTCCTTTAAAAGGACAATATTCTTCTCTATTCAATTGCATTCTTTACTCTTCAAGATTAATGAAGTGAGCATGTAGTTGTGAAGTCTTTGCCAAATCACAGAAATACTATTAAGAGAATTTCTAAGTCTGTAACACATGCTCAGAGTAGTCATTGCGAGAAATGATTTTTTGTATTAATAACTAATTATTAAATCAGGACCAAGGGTTTTCCCCTTTTCTACTTCTTCATCCAGAAATCAACCAGTGTGGGAAATCTTAGACAAAGACTTACCCAGGCTAAGATTTAATCACATAATAAAAGAAATTCTAAGTTTAGGCTAATGGATAGATTCCTGCTCATTGTGTCTACTCAGATAAGTTTGAGAAATATTGATTCTCCCTTTTATCAGACAAGTGATATGGAAATTGATGTCCCTTTGACCAAAAATTGGGTAATCCAAATCACTTACCTCAAGACCCTCATTAGAATGAACCCACATCTCACTGTAATAATAATTTTCTCATTAATTATTAACCAATCAGAGTTGATTGCCACCCTCAAGAACACCCAAAGGCACATAACCTGTGAGCCTACAGCCATGAGGGGTCTTTGGCATTCAAGAGGGCCACTGACTTCTTTTTATTAACAAACATTCTAGCCTTATTAATAAAATGATTGAGGTATCCAGAAATTATGTCTCTTGAACTTTTTAAATGGCACACCATCAAACTAGCAAAGGAAGCATAAAAATACCATTTTTTTCCTTTATTAACAGATGCAGCCAGTGAAATGGTAAAATCCATACAGAAGAGCCGAAGACAAATTATCATATTGAATCCCCAGGTGGAGCATGGTGAGGAATTTGCCTATGAGCAAGAGATCGCTCTCCACTGTGCTTTGATGCAGAATGACTCCAAAGTGATCCTTATTGAAATGGAAACAACTGATGACACCAGAGAACTGCCAGATTCTCTCAAGCATATTATTAAAAAGCAAGGTACCATTGAGTGGAAGGGAGATCATGTCACCAAAAAACGATCACTTAATTCCAACTTTTGGAAGCGTGTACAGTACCTTATGCCAGCGAAAAGCAAGTCCTTAGATCCACTTCACAGCAGCATTTGAAGACTAGGACATTATTGTTGGCTTTCCCAAGCTCCTGCTGACAAAAAATGTTTGCTTTCATATCTAATATGTCTTTAGATTTTCTTTTATTTTAAGGGTAAGTTGGTATTTGACCTGGAGGATGGGGATAGAGAGAAGGGAATAAGCAAGGACATAAAGACAATAAATACTTTAAGAACTCTTTTGGTAGCTCTCATTCCTCTGTCCTACTTTCTAATCAGTGAAAATGGCTCAGAAAGTTTTCCACTTTTTTTCTGCTTCTGCTCCACTTTCTTCTTCTTTTGCCATACCCTAAAACCTAAGCTGTGTATATGAGGGAAACCTTCTCTCCCTCCCACTTCCAAGTCTTGTTCTAGCTGCATATATCCTTAGTCACCACAATTCACATTCTGAAAAACTGGAGTAATATGTTAAGGGTTAGGTTTTCATCAGCCATCAAAGAGTACTTCCAGAACACTTTCATACAAAGAGACCTTAATGAATATTTGGCCTTAACCTAGATGCCAAAATTTCAGTGAATATTTTATTTCTATGAAGAGTATATAAACTAAGAAACCAATTCAAAGAAGTCTCATATTTGTTTTATTTTGTACTCTTCATATTGAATATTTTATTCAAATCCAGAATTCAGGTTTTTCACTTTTAATATCAAACTTCTTCTCATATTTTTCAATGAAAAAAAAGCATCTATTCCTATGCCCACAGTCCCCAAGGCATTTTACTTTTCCCTATGACATTTGCATGCACAAACATTGTTATTTCCATTTTACTGTTGGGAAAAATCCACATGTAGTCATAGTAGCATTTTAATAGCTCTTTAAAGTTTGCAAAGCTCTTTACAAAAAAGTATCTCCTTTCATCCTTGAAATAACTCTGGTAGATAGATGCTATTATTATTCCCATGTTATAGATGAGGAAACTGAGGCAGACAGAGGCTAAGTATATTATTCAGTGTCATTGAGCTAGTAAGCATCTAAAATACAATATATACTTGGGTCTTCCTAACTCTAGTTCTAATGCTCTATCCACTGTGCTATCTAGCTACCTATATAGACAGACATGTAAAAAGAAAGTATTCCCTTATAATGTGGAGACATAATAACATGATTTATGCAATAATTCCTGTATATATTATGTGCCCATAATTTTAAAAGATGTTTCACATACATTTTCTTATTTGAGCCCTGTGACATAGGCAAAGCAAGTATTATTGTCCTTAAGAGGAGAGAAATGAGTCCCATAGAGCTTGTTACTTGCTCAAGATCACACCGATAAATAAGGGTTGAGCAGGGACTAGAACCCAGGACTTTTGACTCTTTGTCCAGCGATCTTTCCAACACAGCCCAGTCCTCCAAGATGCTGGGTTTGTAGTTAGAGTATTTGGATTGGAATACTGGCTCTGACACCATCTATATTGTTGGGTAAGTCATTTGACTTCTTGGGGCCTCAGTTCTGCATCCATAAAATGAAGGGATTATATCATAGAGACTCTGAGGTCCATTCCAGTTCTCAATCTATGATCCTATAACTCCCAGAAAGGTACTATGAAGAGAAAAGACACAGCTTCAAGACTTCCAAATCAGGATGTTGCTGTGCAAAATTGGGAAGTAATATAAGTTTGTCATAGGTACTCTATCCATCCTTTTTCACTCTTGAAATAATATCCTCACACAAGATATCTTCACTTATCTAAACCTAAGTTTCTTTAGCTATAAAAGGAAGTGTTTGAACTAGGTTGGGGGTTCTTAAACTAGGGTCCATGAATTTAAGAGGAAAAAAATTATAACTATTTTAATGTAATTGGTTTCCTTTGTATTCCTATATATTTTATTTTACACATTTAAAACCATTATTCTGAGAAGGGGTTTATATGCATTATAAGACTGTCAAAGGAGTCCAAAACACACAGAAAAAGTTAAAAACTTTGAACTAGATGATAGCTAACAGCTAGATGACTCTGTGGATAGAGCACTGGACCTGGAATCTGGTTAGACCTGAGTCCAAATCCAGCCTCAGACACTCATTAGCTATGTGACTGTGGGCAAGTTATTTATCTTCAGTTTGCCTTAATCCACTAGAGAAGGAACTGGCCAATCATTCAGGTGTCCTTTCAAAACAAACAAACAAACAAACAAACAAACAAACAAATAAACCCTACAGGGTCACAAAGAGTCAAACAGCATTGAACAACAATCGTGAAAGAGATGTCTCAGTTTTTTTTTTAAATTTTAAAATTCATTTTAAACTTAAATACAGAATAAGAAAAGAAAAAAAAAACATTGCCATGTACACAGCAGAACATAAGAGAAGATTAAATTTAAAGTAATAGATTTCCATTTCAAGAAAACCTATATAATAAATACTATACGTTGTTTTCAAAGCTGTCCAGCTTTTCTTTACTTTCTTGTAGATTTTCTTTTGTTGTCTTCTGTGCACTTTTTACTTTATTCCCCACCTCCACCCCCAGGAAAGCTACAATTAAGCGTGGAGATATATAGATACAGATTAAAACAGACACATATATACACATATATACTCATACAGATTTATGTAAGACCATACTATGCTTGTTTCCACTTGTCCTCTGTTTCTCTGAAGGTGTATAACATCTTCCTCCATATGTCCAAGTCTTTCCATATTTTTCTAAATCAACCAGTTCGTCATTTCCTACACCACAGCAATATTCCAACCCAATCACATTCTATCTGAGAGACCGTCTATGAAAGGTTTTCCCCCAGTTTTCTATATCCCTTCTATTCTTGGCTGCATAGGGTTTATTTATACAAGAAAATTTTAATTTGAAATAATCAAAATTATCCATTTTATACTTCAACAATGCTCTCACCTTGTAACATGGTTGGTCTGATACTACTAAATCTGGTTATTTCACATCTTTTCCCCCTTGTTTCCTTGAAGTTCCTGCTCTCCCAAATGAGCCCTGTTATTATTCTTTTCTAACTTAGATAATTTTTTAGTAATTTAATTGGTTTGGCATTACAAACATAGATTAGGTAAAACTGTCATTTTTTTTATTATATTGGCTTTACCTACCCTTGAACAATATATATTACTCTAATTATTTAGATCTACTTTATTTGTATAAAAGCTGTTTTGTGTTTATATTCATATAGTTCTTGTGTCTGTTTTGGCAGGTACACGCTCAGGTTTTTTTATACTGTCTAATTATATTAAATGTTCTAAACAATGTTGAATAATATGGCTGACATATAGTGTAGTTTCCCTATTATTCTCTTTTGACTAAATCTATTTTAGCTTTTCCTTTGAGATCAAGATTACTACCCTTGCTTTCTTACATAATAAATTCTATTTCTTACCTTTATTTTATGTTTGTTTGTATCTCTCATTTTTATAGCCTTTCCTGAAAGCAACATATTGTTGAATTCAAGTTTTTAATCTATCAGATTCCATTTTTGAGGTAAATTCATCCCAATCACATTTTAAGCTATAGTTATTTGTATATTTCCTCCTTCCTATTTTTCCTCACTATCCTTCTCACCCTATTTACCCTATCTCTCCTCACTCTTCTGCTTTACTTCTACCTGCTACCTTGTTCTCCTATTCCTTAACCTACCCCTCCTCCAAGAATCTCTCCTCTCTCTCTTGTTTCTTTCCGAATTTAGAAAACTTTTATACACTTCTAGATATATAGGTTATTCCCTCTTTAACCCATTTGCATTAATCTACACACCTTTCTCTACCCCCCTCTTATTCTGTTCCTTCGCCTTCTTATTTCTTTATAAATTTGGAAGACTGTTATACCCTTCTAAATGTATATGTTGTTCTCTCTTACCCAGATCTAATGTGAGTAGGGTTCCAGCACTATCAGCCATCTTTCCCCATTTGATTCCTCTATATCAATTCTGTGTCTCATGCCTCATTTTTATGAGATAATTACTCTTTATATCTTTTCCTACACCATTTTGCTTTTTAGAATCAAGTCATACTCAGCTCTACCCCAATCTTTCTTTTGAACTACCCAATTACTAATGACGATCTTAGACATGCAGTTTACATTTCCGCATATAAAAAGTAAAGAATTTGTCCTTATTGTATCCCTTGTAATTGGCCTTTGATGTTTACCTTATATTTCTCCTGGATCTTGTATGTCAATTTTTCTACTAAGCTCTGTTCTTTCTGTGACAAAATCCTGAAAGTCTGTCAATTCATTGAATATCTTTTTTTCCCTTCAAGATTATGCTTAACTTTGCTGAGTATGATATTTTTGCCCACAACTCCAGTTTTTTTTTTTCCCCCGGCTCTTTGTTATAGTGTTCTAAGACCTGTGGTCTTTTAGCATAGCCACTGCTAGGTCTTGCATAATTCTAACTGTGGCTCTGCGATATTTGAATTGTTTTCTTTTTTTCTTGTTGCTCATAATATTTTCTCCTTAACTTGGGTTTTAGAATTTGGCTATGATATTTCTGTAGGTTTTCATGCTGGAATATCTTTCAGGTGGTGATTAGCAGATTTTTTTTCCATTTCTACTTTCCCCCCCTGTTCTAAAACTTCAGATTGGGTTCTTTCTTCTTTTCTTGCTCATTTTTGTTTAGTTTAGTTTTGTTTTTTATTTTTAGCAGCTATTATGATAATCACCTCTAGTCCTGGAGTGTGGTGCCTCTGGCCTCAGGTCTTTCTTACTGTTATTTTTTGAGCTTTGTCCTGGGCCTGATCTCTGCGCTCCTTTCCTGCTCCAAACCACAGCTAGGGCCTCCAGGCACACTGTGCTAGAAATGCCTTTACTCCTTGAGGACCTTCCAGTGATTATAAACTTCAGTTCTCCCCTCTAGCCTGGGACTGAAACCAGGAACTCAGCTTTCTTATAAGTGCCCGCAGCCAGCAGCATCCCCACCCCACTGCTGCTTGTCACTGGTTGTGCACTGGTTTCTTCTCACCCTAGACTATATCTCGGCAGCACAGCTGGGCCTGGCACTGCCTTTAATCTTCCCCTGCTCAGATGTCAGACTCCCCCATGCTATGAAGTGAGAATTCCTGTGGCTGAGGCTGAGGTTACCTCCCAACCCAGGCGACCCCAGAATTTATTGTTTGTTTATCATTTGCTTATTGTTTCCATGGAGACAGCCCATGCCTGCTGAGCTCCTTCCTGGGGTCAGATCTCTAGTAATCCCAGGAGGACTGTTTTGTCTTGCTTGTGGAGGAAACCTGGAGAACTTGGAATTTTCTGACTACTCCACTATCTTCTCCGAATCCTCTTCTTTCAGATATAATATTCTATGAATCTGTAATTTTAATTCATATAGGATTTATTTTTATTGTACCTGTCCTATCTATTCCACAGGGTTGTCAAAGGTCAAGTGAAATAATAGATGCGAAAAACCTCTGTCACTCAGAGCTTGTCCATACCATGTTCCCTATGAAAATTTCTTTGCTCTATATTTTGTCCCCTTAGGAACCAGGGTATATACTAGGCAATTTGCAAAACTAATTTCCTACTAATGTAGTAATGGAAAAAGGCGGGAAACATCATCATATTAACTGGGCTTCTATGTAACCTTTTTTGGTTGTCTGGTTTTAATTTAGCTATGTGATTTTCAGACTATTTCAGACTGATGAGAAAGACTTTTTTTTGAGGGAGGGGGGCTGCATCAAGCAGTCTTTCACATCTATGTTTTATGATACCCCATAGGCAGTTGGCTGCCTGTTGCCACACATTACCATAGTTTCAATAATCTCATAACTAAATTTCTTTTTTTATTGCTGTTTAGGAAGTAGGGTAGAGTGAGAGGATGACAGTTTTCAGGAAAGGCCTTCTACTTTACTGAAAAAATTAAGACCTTCTCACATGGCATTCCTTGGATTAAATCAATATCCTTAATCTCATTCTGATGTTACCTCTGGGACTAGCCATACATTTTCTCTAAGCACCCTCAATCTCAATCTCTCTCTTTCTCTCTCTCCCTTCCCCCTTCCTCCCTGTCTCTTTCTTTCTCCCTCCTTTCCTCTCTCTGTCAATGCTTGATTAATGTAATTGCACAACTTCCAGTTTAAGTTTTTTTTTCATTTTTTGCATATATTATTTTCTGGTTCTGCTTATTTCACTTGTGAGGGATGAGTGAGGTCTACTCAAGGGTGGCGTCCCAGCACATCCTGCTATCTAAGTCGAAGACGTCCTGCTCTGCTTGCCCTTTTTCCCCTTTTGCACTCTCACTTTGTAGGCAGTTGTTAAAAAGAATGTTGTAAAACTCTGTATCTGGACAAAGCAGGCAGAATTCTATTATTCCTAGACAGATCCTTTAGAATAGATCGTGCATCCTACTTACTGACTAATCAGGAGTAGGCGGAGTGCAGATAAGGGAAGTGCTGCGGGATCTCAAAACTGTATATAATCTTTGTTCTCTGTAACTTGTGCCCGCTCCTTCACTTGCTATTCTGGGTGTCATGGACTTAAATATTTGTGTTAATCCCCTATAGATATTAGATATTATACTCCTATCAGAGATATTTGATATGAAGATTTTGTTCTTGAACAAATTCCTTTTTTATATTACCCGCACTGATTTTGTTCATAAAAAAGCCTTTTAATTTCATGTAATAAAATTCCCTATTTTATCTTTCATTACTTCCTCATGGCTCAGAATTCATCATTACCTCTACCAATTTTTCTCTAATTTTTAAAATGGCATAACCTTTTATTTTTAGGTCAAGTATACATTTGAAACACTTTTGGTATATGGTATAAGATTCTGGTTTAACCCTATTTTTGCTGCCCCATTTTCTAGTTTTCCTAGCAATTCTTGTTATGAAGAGAGTTTTTTCCCCCTCTCTTAATTTATATTGCAAACTGGGTTATAAAGTTCATTTGTTTCTGATTTTGTTCCACTGATATACTTGTCTTTTCTTTTTGAACCAGTACCAAATAGTTTAGGGGATTATGGCTTTAATATGTAATTTGAGATATGGAAATAGCTGTCTCCCTTTATTAATATCTTTTTCCCCACTGATATCAAGATCTTTAGTGCTAAATGTATAAGTTAATTTAAGTAGTATTATTATTTTTGTTATATTGACACAGCCCAATCATGAACAATGATAAGCTATTCCTTCAATTAGTTAAAATAAAATATTATTTAAAGAGTGTTTTGTGATTTTATTTATGTTTTGAAAATATCTCTTTAGGTTGATATCTAGATATTTTATTTATTTTCTAATTGATCTGAATGAAATTTCCCTTTCTATTAACTCCTTCTAGATTATATTAGTGCTACATATAAATGCTACCAATTTTTGTGGATTAATTTCATATCCTATACTTTTGTGAAATTATTAGTTATCTCAATTAGTTTCTTTATTGATTTTCTGGGTTTTGTAGTTTATATGACCTTTCTTATGATATGTTTGTTTAGAATTATGTTATTCCAAGCGTCATCCTTCCTCTAGGAATGCAAAGAAATTGATATTACTTGTTAGAAAAAATACATAGGGGCAGTTAGGGGTTGTAGTGGATAGAGCACCAGCCTTGGAGTTGGGAGGGCCTGAGTTCAAATCTAGCTGTGTGTCTCTGGGTAAGTTACTTAACCTTGATTGCCTCTAAAAAAAAAAAGAGAAAGAAAAAGAAAAAAAAATTTATACATATATGCACATGCATACACATGCACATATACATGAACAAATATAGAAACTGATATCATTCATATACAGAAGCCCAAACGTTAAAAACTACAAGTACCTCTGTCAGAGGGCTTTTGATCCTTTAATTGAGAAAACAAGCCAAGGCTATTTTCCTAGTAATGACATCAGTTTATAGACATGACTTCTAGGGAAATAATCTGTAATTGGCTACTACTCTGTGTATTGATGTGGTTTCAATTGATTTTAACTTTATTTTGCTTTTACCCTGAAGGCAAGTTTAGAAGGTCTCTCCATATATAATTCCATAAGTAAATATCCACTTGGGCCCAAATAACCCTATAGCCCTTGGGACTACAGGTAAATTCTTATATATTCCCCTTATTAGATGTCCTAGAATAGATGGGAAGATAGTCTGATGCTACAATTCTCATCCATTTCAATCAACTGAAGTGTTCAAAGTTCTCAAAGGATCAGTTTGGAAGCAGAAAAAACAAATAAAACCTAGTTCCACATCAAACACCATCCTGAATCCAGGAAAAGGAATGTCCTTAGCATACTTCAGAGAGGAAAAGCAAAAGAGGAAAATTAGGAAGCCAACTTATGAGCTGCCATACCATCACCCTCATCTGGAGGCAGATCCTGAGAACCACAGTACCCTCCTCCTCTGTTCTCTTTCTGTTTCTCTTGGTTGTTTTCCTTCTATGTGTTCAACTGCACCTTCTCAATCTTTTTTGTTCATTCTTCATTCTTGTCACATCTGCTACATGTGGATTTTCATCTTCTCAGTCTTGGACCTCCTTTTTTTATTCTGTGGTTAGCAAACATTTTCTGTAAAGGGGCAGATAGTAAATATTTTAGGTTTCGTAGGCTAAGAGGCAAAATGGAGAATATTTGCTGTTTTCAGTCATGTCTGACTCTTTGTGCCCCCATTTGGGGTTTTCTTGGCAGAGATACTGGAGTGGTTTGCCATTTCTTTCTCCAGCTCATTTTACAGATGAGGAGACTGAGAGAAATAGGGTTAAGTGACTCACCCAAGGTCACACAACTAGTAAGTGTCTGAAGTCAGATTTCAACTCAGGAAGATAAGTCTTCCTGACTTCAGGCCAAGCACCCTTGCTTCTGCCCCACCTTGCTGCCTGGAATAAAAATGAGGTACTCATATAACAAGAGAGCAAACAAATTTCCACAATTTTTGGACAAAATTCAAAATATAAAAATAACTGAGCACAATATTTGTAATATAGCTCTACTGCTGAGAATGGAATTCTTTTTTGGGAGGATAGCATTTTGCTTAAATGGGGTTCAAAATTAATGTTCTCTATCATCAATCGATGATACATCGATTACACATGTTTATATGTTATGAAATTTTATGTATTTCATCTTAAAAAATACTTTTTCACATAGATGAGTACTAAAAATACTAATATCAATATCAACTAACAAAAACTGATGTCATGAGCATATGATTTTAGCTGAAGATATTTATCACTTGGAAGGTATTTTGAAGAATTATTTTAGATTCTTCTCTTGCTATTTGCTTTTTACTGGGTCATTACATTGCAGATTAATTGCTTCTAATTGAAGATTAGGTGCAAGCTACTCGATTGCACAGTAAAAGGGATTTTGAAATAATGAAATTTCTTTTTGCACTTTCATCAAGATCTGAAAAAATTGCTAGAAGTATAGTTTGAATTCAGAAAAATATCTACTGCAAATTTGTGTGGGAATGGAAATCATGCTTCTTTTTTTAACTTTTGACAACATGGGAAGTCTATAAAGCAGTTTGACATTACTTGTGATTCAATTGTCAAATTGCTTTACCATATATGCATGAACACTGATTTGTCTTGTAATTTTAGTTTAAATTTCATCAAGAAACTCTCTCGAGCCTGCAGCAAAAGATAATTTCCAAAGCCATTCAGTGTTCAATAATAGTGATTGAGAATGGTTGTTCTTGTTCAGACAAATTTCAATCTCAGCCAGGAGCTCAAAAAATTGTAATAACTTCCCCTCCCCCCTTATTGTTTTGATATGATGGGTGTGCAGTGGGTATGGTAATAATAATGAAAAAAATGCTGTATCACAATATGCTATGAAGTTATAACTGGGTCACTGCTATTTGTAGTTTGCCGAGCAGCAGTGTATAGGAAAGAGAGTACCCACATACAGTCTCTGTTCTAACTACACAACTCTGTCAATATAGCGTGAAAACAGCCATGGACAATATATAAATGAATGAGTGTTGTTGTGTTATAATAATACTTTATTTAAAAATGTAAAAAACATTCTTAACTCCCTGGATGTACTAAAATAGGTGTGGGTTAGATTTGACCCATTGGCTGTAGTTTGGTGATTCCTGCACTTGGTAATCTCATCAGCTCCCATGGGTTCAATTGTTATCTTTATCTCTTCCCAAATCTCTATTTCCAACCATCTTTCCACTGAGCTATAGCCATACATCACCAACTATCTTTTGAACATATCAAACAGGTTGTTCCATTGGTGTCTCAAATTCAATATATGCAAACAGAATTCATTATCTTTCCTCAAAACTTTTCTCTGTTCTGAGCTTTCTTATTATTGTAGAGGTCACCACCCCAGAAAAGCACCCTGAGTAGTTGGCGGGTGCCTTTAATGCTATCAACTCAAGCCCTGACCAGCTGTATTCATTTTTAGGGTCTTTGACTAGTACTCCTTTTCCATTTAACCAACTAACTTCATGTAGCTTTTACAAAAGGATATTTATTTATGGCATAAACAAAGTAGAAACATTTCCCCTAATAATGAAGAAGCATAATTGCCCCTCAGTCTCTGAGTGGAAATTAATCTCATAACTTAGCTCGGCTCTTACATACTATTGATCCGGTTGAGTTCATGTACAAATGTAATGTGACTGCTTTGTCAGTCCTTACATGGGTCTGGAGTCTCAACGGTCACTCCCAAAGATCTTTCTTTTTTACTCAGGACATTGAGGCTAAGCTGACTGTAACACCCATTTCAGTTCCTAGATTCCTGTGGCTATCTGCTCTGACCAAGGTTAGAGACTCTATACTCCCTTCACCTAACACAGAAAAAAAAATAAACAAAAATATGTGGGGTCAAATTATCAGATCTGCAAGAAAAACCACTGAAGCAGAGCTCTAAGCCAATAGCACTTTATTAAAGAGCCCCCTCTAATGAAGTGAATCTCAGATCTTCCTCATGATCTGAGATGCTCCTGGTCCCCAGGACCTTGTTTTTATAAGGTTTGATATCGAGTTTAATTAACATCTGGACTCGGATAGTTTGGAGAGACAATACAAAATACAAAATTCTATTGGTTGATAGACCTTGTTTTGAAAGCCAAAAATGATGCATCAGCTAAAAAATGATATATCAGGTGGAGAAGAGAAGGGTCATGGTTGGACAAAGCACTGGAGATCTCTGGTGACTAAGTGGTCATAAAATGGTCATAAGATGGTCACGTGCTTGAGATGGGCAAGAGATAGTGGTCCAGAAGTACAAAAATAAGTTGGTGGATTTTCCAAAGAATCAAGTCTCCTACCCATGCTGGCTTTGGATATGGGATTTAAGCAAAATAGGATGGAGATATCTTTGTCAACATTCTTGCAGTTGTTCAAGTGAGCTTTAAAACTGGTAAACAAGTAGTGAACATTACATTTGTGGGATAAAAATTATCCTTCTTATTTCCTTATGCAACACTAATCTTTCTTTCTTCAACTTGCTTAATTCCTCTAGTAAACCTCTTTTTGGTTCTTTAGTGGTTACAAATGCACAGTTAATACCAATTTCTTTAAGGGCTTTTGGACAATTGGAATTAGTCACAATCACCTAGTTTTTGTAAGTGATAGGCAAATAAACAAAAACAACTCACTCAGCACAAGTTCCTCATTTTAGGGTGTCACAGATTTCAGTAAGCAGGATGACAATCTCCTCAAAGTTAACCTCTTTCATGATGGAAAGGCATTCATCCAGTTATTTTGACAATGCCCAAAAGGATCATCTAAAGCCCAACCATGACACAGGGATATAACAGAAACTGTACTACTGGAAAACTATCTGTTAGAGATTGTACTTTTCTGAAGGGCTCAGGGTATAACTTTTTCTCTATTTCCTTTCAAATCACTCAAAATTAAGTCCATTTATTTTGTTTTTTTTAAAATAATGTGTGAATTCTGGTTTTCACTCTCAAAATTTCAGAATTTGATACTTTTATAAACCATATGCTTATTTTAATTTGATTTTTTTTTCTAATCTGAGCACCCTTGATCACTGATGACTAGTACAATTTATGACTTTTCATGGCTTTCAGACTGGCCATCCTTACTTGCAAAGCCCCTATCACTGTGCGCTGCTCAAAATAGCCTTGGTGTGGCTATAATCAACCCTAATACCATGAAAGCTACTCAGGTCCCTTCTCTCCTATTAAAGGGTTATTGGGGTCCACTGCTAGTCCCACTTTCTGCAACTGGAATCACAGTGCCCTGCTCCTCCAGTCATAGACACTGGAGTAGCATTGCCTTTTCCCTTTTCCTCTTTTTATGTAAACTAAATTATTCCTTATATTTTTAGGGTGAGGGAAATAGGGGATCCCTGTCCTAAAGAGTCACATGATTCAATCCCCTTCAGCCTTTATGAAAGGCTTCTGGAGATCTAGTCACGGACTTGGTGTCCAGGCTTATAAGAATAAGAGATCCCCAGCAGGTGGCACCTGTATTGGGTGTGCATGCACTTAATTTATTTCTATCTATTTTTATGTATACATATTCTTGTTTAACTCTATCTTCAATGATTCTTTCTTTTACTATAACCTTATTTATACAATTTGAACTTATTTTCACTAACTAATTAATTTCAACACAAGTTTTACTGTGTTTTAATTTACCTAAACAATCTACTTGAACTGCAGTTTTGTCATTAAACTTCATTTACTTTCAGTTGTTTTTAAATTTCAAAACAAGTTTTTCCTTTTTCTGGGAGCACTTTGGAAATCACCTTCAATCTGGTACCTCTAATCAGGACTTGCTTGGTGTGGGCAGGTTGGTTGTTTAAAAGCAGTAAACAATAGAAGGGTAAATAAACTCCAATTCTACCCACTTTTATTCTTTTTTTGAAGATGATATAAAATTTCCTTATTCTGCCTTCTAATAATAAAAATTCCTTCCTATGATAAACTTATCCCAACTTTAAGTATAGTTTTTAAGTATACCTTTATTCTACACTAAAATTAAAACCAATTTCACAGACTGATAGTCCAAAACGTAAGACTTAGAGATTGGCTAATTGAACTTCTTCAGACTTAGTAAATGTGTTTCCTTTTTAAATTCTGAGTTGTGGAATCAATTAAACACACAAAATTTTTAATCTAATTTTTCCTACACTATTTCCTAAATTTTTCTTATTTTAACACCTTCCTGAATTCCTATTTCACTGAATCTCTCCTGAACATATTTCACCACTATTATGACAGTTCTTAAAATGCAAACTTCAGTTTAAAAAAAATAATAAAACAAAAAAAAAACCCCACAAAGCCAGAAAAAAAGTAAACCAGCTTTAAATTGATCCCAGTCATTTTTAAGGTCTCTTTTAAAGAGTAATAATCTGTGAATTTTGTTTGTTTGTTGTTGTTTTCACTAAATGCTAGAGAGTTTGGTAGTACCCTTATAAGCTCATCAAAATACTTTATAAAAACATCCAAACTGTAATTTAGGAGTTAAAGAAATCTGACTATTCCTTTTTCACAAATTTAGTTTCCAATGATTTTTTTTTTGTATCTTAGTTTTCAATTAATTTCTGTATCTGTCTTTCATCTCATCAATCTCCAACATGGCCAGTATTGGAAACAGAGAAAAAAGAGAGATTTGTCCTTTTTTAAGACTTTTTCTTATAGCCTATTTCTTTTGGTTGATCAAGTTAAAAGAAATACCTGTTAGTTATGGGTTAGCACAAAGCATGAATAGCACAGACAAAATAGATACATAATTCCCACTCTCTTAATGATTTTCCTGATTGTATAAGGTCCTTTTCTATCTGAAATAAATAATCCACTATTGCTAAACTTAGTTTCAAACAGACACACATAACATATAACAAGATACAACATTAAATTAAGCCTGAATTTCTCCTAAGTTTTTCTTTACGAGATTTTGAAGTCAAGATCCTACGTGTCTCCTCTATTAAGTAGAGAACTTATGACCATCTTGTGGCTGAGGTCCTGCAGTCAGACAAAGATAATTCTTCTGTATCCTAATTATCTTAATGCTTTTAAAATCTTATTAACCAAACATGTAATTTAGTAACAATGCAAATTACACTAGTCTAATTTGCCAGTTGGGTTCACCCTTTTAAAGCGCATTTTGTTTTTAGAACAAGTCCCTAATAGATAGGAGAGCTGGTTAAAGTTCTATTCCTCTAGACTTTTTGCCAAAGTATAATCACAGGAAGAAAAACTGAGAACGATGAAGAATTTAGCACTATCAATAGTTCATTTGTTCTAAGCTGATTTGGGAAGTTATTCAATAAAATTCCATAACTTTCTAAATAATCAAAAGTTCTGTGCTTTAGCCAGAATAATTCCCCAAACCTTTGGTCTTCTCAAACCAAATTTTGCACAGTTTAATAGCTCTTTGTTTAGTTATCCTCAACCCTCTGGACAGGGAGTCCACTCTTTTCCCAGGCTATCCTAATGGACATCCTGTAGGATGCATTTCTTCTCTTATGCCCAACCCCATGTCTCCTGCAGGTGTCGGCGACCAAGAATGGCATTCTTCTGAGGAACTTCCCTTGAGAGAATAGGATTAGAGATACATACCTTTCTGGCTATTCCTTCTAAGAAGCTCCCCAATTGAAGGCGTTGGAGATTATTTCCCTCAAATATGAAGCAAGGGGGATACTTTCCTACCCACCTGAGTTCCACCTGGATAGGCGTCTTTCCTACAGTTAACACTGTAATATTCAGGGATTTGTTTTGGTGATTTCTCCAAAAATTCCAATTCTTAATTTCTGGGCTTAACCTCTAGGGTCCTAAGACCGGTCAATTATGGGGGAACATTCAGCAAAATTTATATCTACTTTCCTTTAAAACTTCATGAAAATTTAGCTCTGACAATCCTAAGCAAATACAAATGAAAAAACCTTTTCCTTTCCTCATATCTGTAAAACTAAAATAAGCCTACTTCTCAGATCAAAAGGGGGTGGGATTGCTTCCAGCATGGTCACAGCCTTGACAGTTTACTGTAGAGGTCTGGAATCTCTCCCCTAATGCCCCCAAAATTCTCTCTCAACCAGTTTGAGAGATTTCTCTATTAATGACAAGAATTATTTAATTACTCCTTGTTAAAAGAATTTAAAGACAAAAAAAATCTGCTTTAACCCTGCCAACAGGAAGTTTTAAAATTAGCTAGGTAGCTAGCTGGCTGAAAATGAGGAACTAGCAATTCCACTGTTGAATCTCCCTGGTCTTCACAAAATGAAAGTGAGAAAAATGGAGGGGGAAAAAAGAGTAGCCTATGTTCAAAAGTTAAAATTATGACCATATGATTTTTTAAAAATGGAATTTGAGTGCTCTAGAACTTATAAATTTAGACAGATTAGTCACAAATTCAAACAGGGACCCTTCTTAAAGAAAATGAATTTAGGGTAAATCAAGGCAGACTCACCAATCTTGAAAAGACTTACCTGGGCTCAGAGAATTTGGGTGCAGACAGAGAGGGGAGTCCAACCACCCAGGGCTGGTATCTGTGGGGGACCTGGTGTGCACTTCATCTTTGGGTCCCTTGCAGGGCTGGCCAAAAGAGGTTGAGGTCCATGCGTTGCTGTCCCATCTGGAGTCACCATTAATGTGGGAATAAAAATTATTCAACTTACAATAAGAGAAACTGAGGCAGAACTCTGCACCAATGGCACTTTATTAAAGGGTCCATGGTCAATTCTAATGAAGTGGACCTCAGATCTTCCTCATGATCAAAGATGTCCCCTCCATCCAGGGCCCTATTTTTACAGGGTTTTTTTATATAGGTTTTTTTTTATAGGGTTAGATATCTAAACATTAAAGAACAGCTGTACCAGATACATAATAATTCCATTGGTTAACATATGATGCATAAACTAAAATAAGCAAACTAAAATCAGTGGGGTCACAGGTTGGGCAAGGCAGGAAATATTTCTGCTGACCAGGTAGTCATAAGGTGACCATAAGATGGGTGAAGGATAGGGCATCTCCATTGAGTAGGTGGACATAAGATGGACACCTGCTCATGTTGGACAAGAGAAAATGGCCCGGAGGTAGAAAAAAATTTTAGGGAGACTTTCCATATAGTTGACTCACCTCTACCACGCTGGGCTTGGTCACCATGACAAGGAAAGACAAGGATGGAGAGCTGCTAGCTAATTACCTATGATTATGCAAGTGATCTTAACCATGTGCAGCTCTGGGGCCAAATATTCAGAACTTATAGTCGTATCAAATTGATGGATAGCGATTGGAATAGAGTAGGAGTCTTCAACAAATCAATTTCCTCACATTAAAGTTTGAAGCCTACTATAAAGGCCTACTATAAGAACCAATCTTATCTAACTATCCCTATATGATTTATGTAAAATATCAAACTGATTAATACTGATTGGAATACAGTAGAGGTCCAAATGAATCATTCCTCACAAAATTCAAGGGCAGAGGCTTGTTTTGAAAGGTAATATGTTTTCAGAGGGGATAAAGCCTCTGAGGTTTTTCCCCTTGCAACATAATCTCTCACTAGGTCCTATGAGAAGAGTCTCCCAGACTCAAATGAAGCAAAGAGGTAGCCCAAAATCAACTCAAGCCTTTCTGAAGATGCTGACAGTTTTGACCACATAGTCTTATGGTTAGCCAACTAGAACCAGTTACATAACATCCCCACATACTCCACCTGTTATCCAGAAATGGGCATTTTGGTCCCAGAGTGGCCTATCATTTGGGCTCTGGAAAGAGGTATTGAATTGTGTTGAAGATTCCAATACTTAGAACTGAGAAGAGGAGGAACGAGTCACGGGAGAATGGTTTTAGGATTCTAGGGAACCCAACCATGCTCTCAAAACGAAGGTGTGTAATGCCTAAAGGGATTGTACTGGAATAAAGTATATTTTAGGTCACATGGTTTTGGAGAAGTTCATCAGAATATGCTTTAATAGTAGAATGGGGGTTTCTGTTTATTGGAAATCATATTAGCCCCATACTAACAGGATTTCTGAGAGGCACAAATATATGTAAAGTATCTCGCAAACCTTAAATTGTTGCTACTACTGCTGCTGCTGCTGCTCCTGTTGCTTGCTGTTATTATGATACCATCCTTACTTGGTAGCCTTGCTTCATAATCATGATTGTGGAGGAAACTGAATTTTAACATCACATAAAGCCCACCACACTGTACCAAGTTCTGGTTACTGCAAGCCACCCAGAAATGTACCTCAAAGAATATATAACCGATATTCAGCACATTGCAGAAGGGGTAGCAAAAGGAAACTTAAATGACCTTTGGGCTTTGAATTGTGAATTTAATTCCATATCAAGAAGGGAGAAAAGTCCTTGACTCACTAGCCTTTTTGACTTTTCCTTTGTCTTTGAAGGTACCCTTTGAAGGACTGCGTTGAAGTCAAAGAGGCAAAAAAAGTGGAATGCAAGATCTTGTAGTTATGGGACAGAAGATAAATCTTCTGTTAGCAGGAAGGCTGCATTTAAAATTATGACCAAAAAACATGCTTCTGAAAACCAATTTGGGCTGAACCAAAACCAGGATCCAACCTCTTCTTGAGAGAACCTCTTCCACAACTCTTGAAGCAGTGTCTTCAAGTCTGCCCCACCTCTCTTGAACTGTTGTTAAATTTCTTCCCCTGTTATTCTCCAGCCCACTTTCACTATTAAGCACTGCAATAATCACTCTGCGTTTCCTTTTACAACAAAACAAAAAAACGAAAAACGAAAAACCAAACCAAGACTTTTTCTTATATCCACGCTTAAGAATCTCTTAAAGAAAAAGTGACGACACTCATCTGTAAAAGATTGTTAAACGCCACCCCAGCCCACTTCTGTTGGACTGAAGGTGGGGAGGAGGACGCGTAAAGCAAATGCAGAGAAGCCTTAGGCGCACCCACCTCCCAGCGGGGCAAGGGTGGCCAGGGAAGCCACTTGGGCTGAGGTGACTTTTCGAGGCGGGGGAGGGAACCCACGGCCGCGTTAGCTATTCGCTGGAGCAGGAAATTCAACCGACTAAGCCTGCGGGCAGGGCTGGCTAGTCAGAAGCTCACTTGTGCCCAGGCAAAGAGAGAAGCAGAGACAGAGAGGGATAGATCGAGCGTGCAGCACAGCCAGACTTTGCCTCTCCCAGCTCAGGAAAGGCTCCTTCCTCCTGCTCGGTACCTGCAGCCCAACCAAACTTTCACTATTGTCTGAAGTGAGAAGTTGTCCCCCTCCTCTTTCTTTCCTTCATTTTTTCCGCTGGTTTGCCTTTATCTTTTATTACAGTCTCCCATCTTCTTCCCCAGGGTCGTACTTTTTCAGTTTGTTATCTCAACCTCTTCTGGGAGTATCCAGATAGCTTCTTGAACTTTTTTCACCCCCAAATCTTTACCCTTGCTAAAGTACCTAGGGTCATCTCCTTACACTCCACCCTCTCCCCCGCCCCCTTACCTCACTTTTCAAGGACACCTCTTTTAAGGTAAGCAAAAGATAACTATTACTTTACCCCTCCTTTTGGGGCGGGGGGGGGAATGTGATGCATCTTTGTTCTGGGAACGGTAGTAGGTACCCAATACTAGGGAGGCAAGGGCTTCACTAGTAAAACTGACACTTTACCTGCTCATTCTACTCACCAGGAGAAGTTGGATACTAGGCGACGAGCATCTCCTTGTCCCCATTTGTCCTTGCATCAGCTAGGAAAGTTCCTTGTTATGCGGCAATATACATTGAGATTACAGTTAGAATTTCCTTCAGTCGCACCTGGTAAAAAGATTGTTGGATAGAGCCAGGATCAGTTAGGATTCAGGCCCAGGAAAGTTATTAGTTGTATGATTCCTTGGGAAGCTACATCACAGTGCAATGTAGTGTAGTGAACTGTATTTGGCAGGGTAGGATTCTGTTCAAAACCTAACTCAGTTTTGCTAGTACTGTGTGACTTTGTGTATTACTTTAACCATTGTGGGTCTAGGTTTCCTCAGCTCTGAAATGAGGTCAAATTTTTTTTAATTTCTAAAGTTCCTTCCATCTCTCTCTCTCTCTCTCTCTGTCTCTGTCTCTCTCTGTCCCTCTCTGTCTTTGTCTCTGATTCTGTCTCTCTGTCTCTTTCTGTCTTTCTGTCTGTCTGTCTGTCTCTCTCTCAATTTGTGTCTTCTTTGTTGTTTATTCAGCTGTAAATAGGAGTTAATTCTTATGGCTGTAAAGTTTAAGTGTCCTGTGGATATGTTTTCTACAAAGGCAAAATAATAGTGGCTCAACTAATGTGTTCAGACACAGATCATCCTTACCTTGAGGACACATTAAAAAAAATATTTTGACTTCTTGTTATTCAGTCACATTCAACTCTTTGTGACTCCATCTGGGATTTTCATGGCAAGGATCCTGGAGTGGTTTGCCACTTCTTTCTCCAGCTCATTTTACAGATGAAGAAACTGAGGCAAACAGAAGTTAAGTGCTTTGTCCAGGGTCACACAACTAGGAAATCTCTGAGACCAGTTTTGAACTCAAGAAGATGTGTCTGAGAACATTAGTTGAGTTACTATTATTTTGTCTTTGTAGAAAAATCTCGAACCTCTGAAATGCCTTTGAGAGTCCTGGTCATTTTATTTTTGGTATTTATGGAGCGAAGCACCTCAGGTAAGTGCTTGTATCATAATGTATGTATTCAATAAATTCCCTCCATGGAGTCCATAATCCATTTATAAATTTTTCTTTATTCTGCCTCTTGGATGATTTAAGCATTTACTTTCCTGTTTAAATGTTGAACTTAATCCGTCTTGACACAGCCATCAAACGAACAGCCTTTCACATGCAATTAAATTGATCATACAATTAGGATGCAATTGGGGACACTTTATCATGTTTTTATTAGATGAATATTAGAATACCCCTTCCCTTGGAGATGAATGTTTATGAGCATTGGTAAGCAGTATCTTGAACGTACTTTATTTCAGCCCCTTCTCCATGGTAGCTAATCAACATCGTTAGTTAATGCCTTAATGCTTTGATGGTAGGCATTCCTTCACCACAAAGAAGAAATTTATTACTTAGTTTATTTTAACTTAGTTTATTCCAACTTATTACTAATTAGTTTTTATTTTTCTGTTTCCTCTGTGACTTCTTGTGATTATTAAAGACTTTTCCAGTCCTAGGAAGCTAGGATCTGGGGCAAGTTTAGTCAAACCCCCTGAATAAATAGGTCAGATGGGGCTACAGGATGCATAGAATGACTTCTTGAAAACCTCAGACTGAGACATTGAGGTCTTGCATCAATCTACAAGAATCAGACAGGAAGCAATGGACATCTCTACCCTTTTTGATAATAGTTTGAGATCAGTTTTCAAAACAAAGAGGCTGGACTTCTGAGAGGAATATTGTAGTACTAATCTGAGAGAATTTAGTATTTCAGCAGAGGATGTCCAGAAAGTCTTAGTACAGTTTTAAGTTAACTTTAAAGCTGCACTAAGACTTTTTGGGACAACCCGCATTTTCAGTGTCTGAAGGAGTCCTTGTTTTTTAATCTGAAGTGGAAAAAGGTTGTATCCCAGGGGGGAAAAAAAAGATGGCAGCCATAGGAAGGACAAGTGATAGCAGATAGATTAAGAGTATGATCAGAGGACATAAAGAGCACATTTTCATATAGTTAACTCTTGATTATCTATGGGAATGGATAGAAATCATGGAGTGGTTAATTTATTTAGAAGGGATAAATCATACATACTTTCAGTTACACAATCCTCCCCATCCTCCAATATACACACACACTCACATAGATATACACTTGCCTTTCTCTAAGCCTGGTTTAGGACGGTGGTGACTGTACGGAAGAAATTTACTAACCCACAGATGGCTACCTGTAATTTCCCTTGTCCCACTCTAACAGCAAAACAAAGTGGGTGGGAATACTCTCCCATGGTGATAAGATTCTTCCCCTTTTCAAAGATAGCAGGAAAGACCTCTGGTTTGGAGTCCTAGCATCTGAGTTCCACTCCTCACTTGGCCATGTATGACTTTTGTGATTTAGGAAAGTCACTTAACCACTCTACCTCACTTTCTTCATCTATAAAATGAAGGATTGGACTGAGTCCATAATCTTATGATGTTATGTATAAACCTGTCAGGCTCTACATTACCCTTTTCGGGCTTATTTTCAAGGCTTAAGACTTATTTTAACCTGATTTTAGCTACATCGGAATATTGAGGAAGAAGGAGACAGGTACATAATCCAATTTATGGGAGGCCAGTAGCCCCTGGAGTATCTTTGAACACCTCTGGAAATAGCCCTTCCTTCTAGAATTCCTTTGTTTAGCTAATGTAATTTTTCTATTACCTATTTATTTTTATCTTTTATTTTTAAGATGGCATTTTACTTTTTAACCACATTTCCCCTTTAACTCTACTTTTCTTGTGAAGATTTGTGTGTTTTCCGAGATCACATTACTGCACTGGAAGGCGAACCTTATTACTTGAAATGCTGCCTGTCTACTGATCATCATCATCATAGAAACCATACTGTCAGGTGGTCAAAACGCTATGGACCAAATAGAACAGTGCCCCTGAGCTCAAGTGAGAGGATCATTTTTAATGATGATGCTATAGAATTTTGGCCAATGAAAATGATTGATGAAGGAATGTACACTTGTACAGTAGGGTAAGTACATTTATTCTTTTATATTGATTAATTTAATACAAATTTAAGTTTGTTAGTAAGGATTAAGTATATATGAAAGAGCGGCAGAAACTGTAGAAGAATATTCAGTGTGATTCAACAAATGTTTACTAATTTCCTGCTATGGCTTCATAGAATCTGAATTTAAAGACATTTCAGTTCATAGGGTTGTGTGGTGTGAAATTTATAACTATAAAGGAACTTAGAGGGCATGTAGTTTAATTCCTGCATTTTACAGATGAAGAATTTGAAGCCTAGAGAAATGACATGACAACCAAGGTCACAAAGGCTAAATAAAGTAGGATTTAATCCAATTTAATCCCAAATTCTCTGAGTCCTAATCAAGAATTCTTTCCATTTCATTATGTTACCTACCATATAATATAACCCATCCCTAAATAGAAAGCTGTTTTACAATATACCCAACTGGCCATCAAGCTTCTGCTTTACTTGACTAATTTTCTACAAAGATTGTGACTTTTTTTCTTTTAAGGACAGTGAATGAGGAGGAAAAACACTTTAAAAGTAGAGAGAGGTTGGCTCATAAATCAGCATTCAAATCCCAGTATTCTGATTCTAAGCCTAGTTTTCTTTCTGGTATTTCTTATGCTTTATGGCCCATCAAGCCCAAGGGAGAACATGATTATCCTTTTTAAAATCAATCTCAAAAATTAGGGTCATATTCCACACGTTGAGTCATTCATTCTCTCAACCGCAAATATCATAATTTTCATAAGTAACTCATTTTGACATATTTATCAATTGTTAAATTAATCTGCTTCTTCTTCCTATCATAAACCTGTGATTCAAAATTGCTATTTGCTAAGGAGAAGCCACTTTTCCTATGACTGTTCCATGCTTTCTCATCCTTATCCATCTCCACCCCAAACCTCCTCTGCTTTATCACTCATGTCATCCCCTTTCATTCTGCTCTCTGGAATTCTCATTATATCATAAAAAATATATCTATCTCTTTACCTTAGATTTCTTCCTTTCATACCCTTTTCCAGAATTTTGCAGTTAGGAAGCTTAACTTCCTCCAGAACACATTGTCTGCCTGGTCATTATCTTCATTATTCAATATTGTTGTTGTTTTTCTCATGCCCCTTTACACACTGGGTCAGGACAATGGATAGACAAAACCTTTGTTTCTTGATGTCACTTCCAGACTATCCTTTTTCTTCCATTTCTCAACAACTTCTTTTCTGAGGTTCACTCCATCTATATCATTATTATGCATATCTTTTCAGAGGTCATCTACCAGACTCCAGGTTATCTTTTCCCTTGCACAAGGAGATCAGTACTTATTTCAAAATCTTCCTTTCTAATCTAAAACCTGTCCATATACTTGGGGACTTCAGTAGACCATGATGACCTCTGAAACTCTCTGGTCTCTTAGTTCATCAGCCTCTTTAAGCTGTGTGACTTATACTCAGCTGCTCAATAGAATCACATTTTAGACCACAGAATCACTCATAATTGTATGAATTCCATGACCTTGACTTCTGAAATTCCCTTCTCTGGTTCCTGGTCTTCCAACACTCCTTCTGCCTCACTTTTACAATATAAAGATGAAGTATAATACAGTCTCAGTTATTCTCAAGATTATATTATTTTTTGTTGCTGTTGTTGTTATCCATGCTTATCAATGTGTTCACAGGTTCATTGAAGTCTTATTATTTATTATGCCAATCAGCAAACAAAATGCCTACAAAATGCCAGACAAATAATATTTCTCTCATCTAATAACATCCACCATTAACATATATGGCATTTCCTCATCACCTAAAATTCAGGTTAAACAGATTTGTCTTGCTTAATTGGGAACAAGTCTTGATGACCTAAAATAAAAGTATAATTCTCCTATATGTGATATTTTAGGATATTATTCCTTGGGGGATTTATAGTGACTGATTGTCGTTGTCAGAAATTCTGATTCAGCTGCCCCCAGTTGTATAGATTTACTCTCCAACCAAAAGAAGTAACTGTGGTTTCACAGTGTTATTGATACAGATTGAATTCATTTCTGCATTAGGGCAGGGCTAATTTCATGGGTGTGGTGATGTGACAGAGATGTGTGTGTGTGTGTGTTTGCATATGCTAGTTTTGCCTTTCTCCATTCAGGTGTTTTAATATCAGTGCTACCACCTATGCCTTTCTCAATCTTCTTCCCAATCTTCCTCCAGGCACTTCCCTCAAAATAACCTAGTTCACAGTCTTCCCTCAAAAAAACAAAAACAAAAGCAAAAGCAAAAGCAAAAAACAGAACAGAATAACAACCAAAAAAAGCCAATTTTTTTTTTTCCTACTGTTGCTTACTCTGAAAGAATGTAATCTCCTGGAGGACAGGGACTGTATATATTTTTTATTTTTGTATCTTAGACCAGACATGCTTGATCTTCTCTCCTCTCTGACTCTGCTGCTTACTTTTCACAAGGATACCTCCCCACATGCCCCCCAGACTCTCAGCTCCATTTGCGTGTTGTCCTCCTCCCTCAGAATGAAAACTCCTTGTGGGTCTGTCTTTCTCATTTATATTTGTATTTCTAGTGCTTAGCACAGTGCTTGGCACATAGTAAATGCTCAATACAATAAATGCTTGTTGACTTAACTTGACTTGTATCCCCAGTGCTCAGAACATAGTAAGTGTTTAACAAGTGCTTATTGAATTGACTGGAATCAATAGCACAAGGGTAGCAAGTTACAGTGAAAGGGGGTTTCCTGTTCTCATTCTACAGCTAGGTTCCAGATAATCCATTTCTTAGCTATAAGAGAAGAAATAAGGGAGAGATCAATTGTATCTAAGAAATGGATTATCTGAAACCTAGCTACAGAGTGAGAACTGAGAAGCCCCTCTCACTGTTTCTTGTTACCTCAGCCCTCTAGGCAATCCCCTAAGACTTTAAGTTGAAGAAATGATGCCTTACCTAGATATGGAGTTTCTTCAACATGTAGACAGATGAATAGTTGTAGTGAGTGTGTTTATTGTTCTGCTTTCTTCAAACTGTATCATTACATGTGTCTTTGTTTTTTGAATTCTTCATATTTGTCCTTCCTTCCTTCCCTCCGTCTTTACTTCTTTCTTTCCTTCTTTCTTTTTTCTTTGTTCCTCTCTCTGTTTCTCTCTTTTTCTCTATTTATCTTCTCTCCTCTTTCTCCCTTCCTTTCTTCCTCTTTCTTTCCTTCTTTCTTTCCTTCCCTCCTTCCTTCTTTCCTTTCTTCCTTCTTTCTTTCTTCCTCCCTCTCTTTCTTTCCCTCTCTCTTTCTTTCTTTCTTTCTTTCTTTCTTTCTTTCTTTCTTTCTTTCTTTCTTTCTTTCTTTCTTTCTTTCTTTCTTTTCTCTCTATGATCATCACCATTTTGGGAAATGCAAATTGGAAGATGTGGAAAACCCCTCAGTCATAGCATATTAGCAACTCTTCTGCAATGTATAATGATTCTTGGGGCCCTGACTAATTGTAACTTACACATAGTCATATAGCTAGTGTATATCAGGATTTGAACCTATGTCTTCTTCACTCCAAAGTTGGCTCTCATAATTTCTTAAGATTCAATAATATTCCATTATATTCATATGCCGTAAGATTTTTTTTTAATCATCACACATCTCAACATCTTTTACCGACATTCACTATCATTAGGCCCCTAATTTCTTTCCAGCTATTACAATTAGTGCTGTTAGAATGTTTTTGGTATAGAAGGGTCTTTTTTCCCCCTATAGGTGAACTCTTCAGGGCATAATCTCAGCAGTGAAGACATGGAGTTCTATGTTATGTCATGTTATGAACATTTTTGTAGGTCTTATTACTATTCTATTTTATCAAAGTATTACTACAGTACTTCTGAGTGGGAGAAGAATAACTCTGGAAAAACTCCCCTGGACTCATTTATCCATAATTAATTTCCTCCCTGTTCCCCTACTTTTGGTGGTGGGGTATGGAGAAGAGAGGAAGAAGGAGGAGAAGGGTCAGGCAAAAGAGAAGGGTAAACTCCTATTTCTCCACCTCAAGGCTTGATTGAGTAACTACAAGTTTTAACTTGATAAACTGACGTTGTGAAAACGAAGGAGAAAGTGCAAACCATATAGTAATGGGTGGAGAGGGTGCCCATGAAGGTTTCATTTTTAGATTGATGTAGCCAAGAATATTCACTCTCTTTTTCATGTACTGAGGGTAGGTTTCATAGTTATGGTAGGATTTTAGTAAATACTGGATGAGAGAAAGGAGAAGATTGTAGGGGTGGGGAGGGTGTTCTAGGAACAGGGTGTAGTCAGGGAAGCAGGTTTGAAGATAAAGTGGACAGATTAGGGGAAGGTGTGAAGTTTGAGGAGAATTATGGAGGTGGATGGGCTGGGCAATTGGGCAAGATAAGGTAAGTGATGTAGAAGGGATGAAAGGTTTTAAATCAAAACATGAGGTGTTTAGTTCTGACCCATAGTGCAATAGGGAGTTGGTAACTGAGGGGGAATTAAAGTATAGTTGGAGGTGACAACTTTGGCGAACATATTAAATTAAATAGGGATAGGTCCCTGACCCCACATAGTCAATCAGTTGTGAAGCCTTGTTCATTCTACCTTCACAAGATCCCTCTCATCTATCTTTCTTCTATCTTCTAGCATAGCCAACACCCTAGTTTAAACACTTAAAACCTCTTACATGGATCCTAACTGGTCTACTGGTCTAAAGTCTGTCTCCTCTCCGAGTCATCTTCTACACAATTGCCAAAGTGATTTTTTCAAAGTACAAGTCTGAGCATGTTACTTACCTGCCCAGTAAACCCCAGTGATTCTTTGTTATACATCTAGGGTAGAATGAATCTCCTCTTTTTGTCATTTAAAACCTTTCACTGTCTGGTTCCAGAATACTTTTTGAGTATCACTACATATTTCTCTCCTGCACACATTTTAGAGTCTAATCAAACTGGCCATTTTGCAGTTCTTTAACACGGTACCACATTTCCCATCATCCTGCCTTTACACAGGAT